ATTAAATGTTCTGGGATTCCCATTCTTCTCAGAGTCAGCCACAGTTTGTTATGATCCAAACAGTCAAATGCCTTTGCATAGTCAATGCAACACAGATAGACATTCCTCTGGTATTCTCTGCTTTCAGCTTACGTCCATCTAACATCAGCTACAATATCCCTAGTGCCACTAAACCCAGCCTGGACTTCTTGTAGTTCAGAATAATTAAATTACGAATGCCTATATTTAGGTGAAACACAGCATAGTTAAGTTCTCATACACAGTAGGCACGTTTTGCAATGCTTTTCCCTTTCTTCTGTGTTCTTCGGCCACGTTCTTTAATATTTTTATATTAGTGCCGGGTGTTGGTAGGTGCCATCAAGTCAGCTACGGCTCATAGCACTCCTATGAACACCACCATCTGAACCTTAGCCTACCATGTTCATTGTCACAATCTCTGGCAGGCTTGAGCCCACTGTTACAGTCTCTGTGTCAACCCATCTTGTTGAGGGTCTTCCTTTCCTTTTCTGACCTCCCACCTTTCCCAGCATGATGTCTTTTTCCAAGGACTAGACTCCCTTGACAACATGCCCAAAGTATGTGAGACAAAGTCTCATCACCCTTGCTTCTAAGGAGCACCCTAAATGCACTTCCTGTAGACAGACTGTTCTTCTGGCAATCCATAGGACATTCGGTACTCTATACAACACCAAAATTCAAGGCAAGGACTCTTCCACCATCTTTATTCACAGTACAACTTTCAAATGCATAAAAAGCAATTGAGTTGTTCTTTTGGCAGTCCGTGCTATGTTTAAAAAAAATAAAAGCAATTGAAGATACCCTAACTTGGATTAGGTGAAGTCTTGAACTGTCATCTTTTGGCAGTCCGTGCTATGTTTAAAAAAAATAAAAGCAATTGAAGATACCCTAACTTGGATTAGGTGAAGTCTTGAACTGTCATCATTGCTCTTCAGCAATTTAAAGGACTCCCTGACAGCAGATTTCTCCAATGCAACATAATTTCACACTGCTAGACTGTTGCTACCATGGAGACTGACTGTAGATCTAAATAAAATTAAATCACTGACAACTTCAATTTTTTTTTTCTTTCTGTATGTCATGATGCTGCCTATTGGCCCACAAGTGAAGATTTTTGTTTTCTTGATGTTGAGTTGTAATTCGTGTTGAAGAATGTAATTTTTGGTTTAGTGTGATAAGGATTTACTCACTTTTTGCAAGCAAGGTGTTTCATCTACATAATGCAGGTTGTTGGTAAGTCTTCCTCCAAACTAGATGCATATTCTTTTTCGGATAGTACAACTTTTCATACATAATTCTAAGTACTATACCTTAAAAGCCCTTCTCATGGATTGTTTAATTTTATAAATCAAGAAATCAAAGCTCAAGAAGTATCTGGAGCATTACATGCTCATATCATTGAGTGTTAACTTACCCTTAAGATTTTAAAATAATGCACGTGTCAGCAAACTTTTTCTATAAAGCATCAAACAGTGAATATACTCACTTTTATTTGACATATAATCTTTGTTGCTGCTCCTTAACTCTGCCAATATCTCCTAAAGAGGTCCACAGATAATTCATATATGAATGGGTATAGCTGTGTACCAATAAAACTTTATTTATATGAAAATAGCCAATGAGCCATATTTGACCCCAGGTTATCATGGTTCAAAATTAGTATTCTCAAAAAAGTCTTTATCTTTTATGTAGAGACTGAAACACTAAAACTGAAAAGTTGCTATCAAACAGGTATTTTAACATCCTTTTCCATTTCCAAAACATTTATTGCTTTCATCTCTCATTAATAAAATATATAGCTTTATATATATATATACACACACACGTATAGTTGTATGTGTATGTGTATATATACACACACATATGTATATATACATATATATATATACATGTGCACGCGCGTGTGTGTGTGTATAAATTTTATTAACTTGCATTATAAAGAACTTTGCTTTGCTGAAAGTGAGGAGGATTTAAAGCACATTTTGCAGAAAAACAAGGAATGCAGCCTTCAGTATGGACTGCATCTCAATGTCAAGAAAACAAAGATTCTTACTACTGGACCAATAGATAGCATCATGATGGATGAAGAGGAGATTAAAACTGTCAACAGCTTCATCTTCTTTGTATCCACAATCAACATCCTTGGTACTAGAAGTTAGGAAATAAGGAGATGCATTGCACTGGGAAAATTTGCAGTTAGAAACCTCTCCAAATTATTGAGGGGTAATGATGTCACTTTGAGGACTAAGGTGCACCTGATTCAGGCCATAGTCTTTCCGATTACTTGCTATGCATCTGAGAGCTGGATAATGAATAAGGATGATAGAAAAAAGAATTGACACCTTTAGGCTGTGGTGTTGGAGAAGAGCACTGAACATCCATGGATGAAACAGATATGTCTTGGACAGAGTGCAGCCAGAGTGCTCTTTGGAGGTATGCTACTAGAAGAGGCTATTCCTTGAAAATGGACATGACACTGGGAAGAGTGGAGGGTCAGTGAAGGAGAGAAAGACCCTTGCCCAGAAGGATTGACACGGTGACTGCTGCAATGGGCTCTTTCTTATCTGGATGTGTGAGGAACAGGGTTCAGATCTTTTGTTCATAGGTTTGCTATGAGTCATACTTGACTCAACAGCACCTAACAACTACAATAACAATTACCCTAGCTAATGGGTTCAAATTTAGATCAGTGAACCAGAAAATATCAATATCAAAATACATTTTAGAAAATGATGAATTAATAGCTTTACTTATCAAAAAATTATAAAGTAGACTGAAAATTCTGGTTAAGGTCTCAACTGTCAGTCAAAAAGGTGGTAGTTCAATCTCATCCAGAAGCTCCTCGAGTGAAAGACCTGGGGGTCTGCTTCCATAAAGACTACAACCAAGAAAACCCTACCGGACAGTTTATACAGGTTTATTCAACAGCAGGCAACCACCACAAAGTTACTTATCCTTCATCAAACACAAGTTTTACTCTTGGTCAGTATCACTGGGATGTTCAAAGTAGATTCTAATCACTGACAACGAAGTATTTCTCTTTTGTGAGATTCATCATGTAATACCACAACCTCTAAAAATGTCAGATAAGTCCCAACAAGCCTGCACACATGGATTCAATTATATATGGCAAAGACATATCAGGATTTCCAAACACATGACTCTTTAAAAAGAAAAACTAACAACAAACCTGAAGTGCTGCCAGCTTCCTCAAAATCAATATTTCCAAGGTGCAGGACACCAGCCACTACTCGAAACAGATCGAGCTTTTCTTCGTCATCCAAACCAATCTTCTTCATGGCTGTGCACATTCTGATAAAATCCCCATGGTCATCTAACAGAGGATCTTTCAAGGAACCTGCCTTAAGATACTATAAAATAAGAAGTCAAGAATTACCTGATACTTATATTACTTAAAGAGAATACTGTAACTACAGCAAGTCTATTAATGCACTATATAACATGCAAAAACAAAAATTTTCAATGGAAAAACTAAAATACTATAACATAGACAATACTGTAACATATCCTAAAATCAAATGACTGAGTAAAGTAGATAGAAGAGCTCTCTATTACTTTTTTATAACTATGTAATTACAATTATCTCAACAAAAATGTCAATTAAAAAAATGAATGGGATAGTTTCCAATTATGATTTTCACTCTACATTATTACAAAAGTAGGCTATTAGATAAAGGTAAAAACTTAATGGGGGGGGAATTCAGTAATTAAATAAACATAACACACAGATCAAAAAGAACTGAGGTGAAAAACTACCAAAAAAGTTTAAATCTATCACTGTCACTTAATATCACATATCTTCAGGTTAAAATTGCCATCAAATGCACCAATAGTGAGTAAGCACTAGTAAACAGTGGATGGCTAAGAGAAACTTCATGGCTTGAGAATGATTTTTTTTTAAAATCTTTCAAAAAAAAATCTTTCCATATGCAGTAAAGTGTATTAGGAATCATGCTTACTTTAAGAACTTATTTATTTAGTTCCATTAGATGACAACTAACAACAACAACCAAAAAAAAGCATGACTTAAAATATTTCAGAAAATTAAGTTTTTATTCTCTCTTAAATTGCTGCTGTTGTTGTTGTTAGGTGCCATTAAATCATGTATGACTCATAGTGACCCTATGAACAATGGATTTTTCTCCTAAAATAACTTATATTTAATGTATTCACTTGTTAGAACCTGTAACAATTCATAAAAAGGGAAGAAAAAGTCAAGTCTTCAGACACTAAAATAGGAACATATAAGTTACCGTACATAAGAAGATAGAGCTAGGAATTTTCCAGAATGTATGAATATGACTAGTTAAATATTTGGTAACATAGGTTCAGAATCAAGCAGCCATTAAGCCTATAATGGGGGGGGGGGAAGGAGGGTTTTTTCCTCAGAAATAATGACTTCTCAGCTAAAGTCCTCATGTCTTTCCACAATTTTTTTTTAAATATTCAATTGTGCTTTGTAAGATTTCTGGAAAATGTCTAGATAATAAAATTAAATTTCACTCAAAAAAAAAACCCAAATACATGCAGTCACCGTTAAAATACATATCATGCAGAATTTTTAGTCTTCCAACCAAATGCTTATATCATTTAAAAGTTATTTTAATTAAATATTAATGAACGTATTGCAATTATGGCAGACTAAAAATACTACAGTCAGTCAAAAAAATTGCACATTGTTTTAAAACACTAATGAAATTAGGCAAAGGGTGCTAATTAGTTAAAATTATCACCTCATCTTCCTGATAGAGAGAAGATAAAAAGTAATTTAGACATATTAAATCATTGTTCATTTATATACATAAACATTTTAAATAGTAAATGAGATTACAGACAAAGTATGCTGACTATAGAATCTTCTTTGGAACGTAAAATCTTGTTTTGTTTCCCCTCTGAGTTTTTGTCCATGCCAAAAGATAAAACTTGTATTAACTCTGTCCCCTTTAAGAATGTTTCCATTTTCTTCAAGGGGAGAGTACAACATATGTTGCTGTCATTACATCTTAACATAATCTTATCTGAACTGACTCCAGCATGTTTTCAAATGCAGTAAATCACATGGGAGGAGACTGTCCATATTTCTCCCATGGAGCAGCTGGTGGATTCAAACTGCACATTTTAGGGTTGCCAGCACAATTTCTTACCGCTAAGACACCAGAACATAATGACTTATAAGATATATATGTTTGACAAGACAAAGGAATATACCATAATAAATATCAGTGCCACTTCTTAAAGGTTTCAATCAGGGCTCTAACATGATTTAAAGTTCTGATATCCGTGTTTAAGATGATACCAAAAATGTCAACTGGAAAATTCTTCTTCTTGATGGGGATTTTTATTTACTTTCTGTTCTTTTCATGAACATATTAAAGACAACTCATCATTATTTGAGGAATCAAAAATATTTGACTCACAAATCCAACAGTATTATAACCTAACTATAATAAACCTGTTCTATTAAATATTCTATATAAATCTTTTAATATTATTAAGACAATATCAACTAATACCTACAGTTAATCCCTATTTGCACTCTAGAACTTAAATTCCTTGAATAAACAGTTTAATAGTGCATAGTTCTTAAATACACTGCATACTAAAACTTACAAGTATATTCTAAAGATTCAATGAAATTATATTTATTCTTAGAAATAGAAAAATAATTCTTTGAGAACATTATACAAAATCTTTCATAAGATATTTCAGAAACAAGGTACTCCGAAGGGAAATGCAATCATTTATAAGCATAATCTTGCGAGAATGCTTATTGAGTTTATTTGGTCTCTTTACTTGGTCTTGGTCTTACTTGGTTTCGAAGTAGAAAATAAATTACAAAAGACAGTATTTCATACTTTTTCTGATATACAGATATATGTATCTCAAATGAAAAATGTGAAAATAAGTTTTAAAAATTCCAGAAGATAACTGATCTTAATCCATTTCAAGACTCTTCTATTTGAACATGCAGAGCAGTGCACAGCAGCCTAACCAAGGAGAATCTGAACCTCTTGGTTCTTCAAGTATAAACAATATTCCCAAGTATTCACCTAAGTCTAAACATGAAAAAAAAATCTCATTTGGTCAGTAAAATAACTACAGTTCTTCCAATATATTTTTATCTTATTAAATATTTTCATTTTAAAATGGCTATCATACCTCAGGACTTTTGCGGTTCTGTAAAATGTGTTTGTCAGTTTCTTTGGTAGCAAAATACCTGGTGCAGCCTCGGTTCAAATACTGTGACAAAGAAAATAAAAATACAATTAAAAATATGATCCAGAGAAAAATTGTACAGGACAAAACAAAATATATTAGTGATGGGCACAAAGAACAAATAAATACAACCTACATACCATTTACTGTCTCAATTAAAATAAATTCTTCTATTTAACATTATATTTTGGAGGAACATTCTTCTCAGTGCTACAGCACTCTCTGTCAATATACTGTACCGAGGTAACCTCAGTTGCTGTGATTCTGAACCTTGTGCCATTAGGGTGTCAAATGCCATTATGGTTTCCCATTGAGGACAGTGTTTGGTGGAGCTCCCAGTTTAAGACAGGTTTGGAAGCAGGAGTGGCATCCACTTCCTAAAAAACATGCTTCCAGAAACTCTATGAACTTTGATAAATGTTGATAGTTTAGAAAGGCTTCAGGCCTTTTGTTCATAGGGTCGCTATGAATCGTGCTCGACTCAAAGGCAATCAACAACAACATATAATGTTCTACTTTTACTACTCAGGTGAGGAATACTGAAAATCCCATCTTCCCTTAAAGCAGATTAAATTAAAAGCAATACCACAAAGGTTTCATATTTGTAAGGAGTAGCAATTTAAAATCTCAGTATCAATATCATTTTTTCTGGTTCATAAATACTATATATACTCATGAAAATTACTTTTCTATGATACACTTAGGGAGGTCTGGTAGTTGGACTGCTAACCCAAAGGAACGTGGTTCAAACCCATCAGCTGCTCTATGGGAGAAGTTGGGCAACTTACTCTTGTGTTATTTATAGCTTGAAAACTTGCTTGGAAGGTCAACAATGAATAGGTTCCCCCTTGACAACTGTTACTGCTAGGTGACACCAAGTCAAGTAAAACTCTTGGTGACCCTATGAACAACAGATCTGAACTCTGTCCCATCCTGTGCCATCCTCATATCTCTGACACACCTGAGCCCACTGCTGCAGTTACTGTGTCAATCCACCTTGTTTAGGGTCTTCCTCTCCTTCAATGTCCTCTACCTTTCCAAGCATGATGTCCTTCTCCAAGGAACAGCCTTTAGCAGCAACATGCTCAAAATATGTGAACAAAATTTTGCCATCCTTGCCTCCAACAAGAACTCTGGCTGCACCTTCTCCAAGACATATTTGTTTGTTCTACTGGCAGTCCCTGGGATATGCCATACTCTTCTCCAACACCACAGTTCAAAGGCATCAATTTTTCTGCTGTCATACTTATTCACTGTCCTGCTTTCAGCACCATAACAAGTGACTGAAAAGACCATCGCTTGAATAAGTCACATCTTAGTCCTCAAACTAACATCATTTGAAGAGGTCAAACTCTCAACAATTTGGAGAGGTTCCTGACTGCCAACTTTCCTAGAACAATACCTCCTCTGATCTTCTGGCTGCTGGTACCAAGTGTACTGACTATGAATTCACATAAGATGAAGCAACTAACAGTTTCAATCTTTTCTCCATCTATCACGATGTTTCCTATCAGTAGTATACTTAGTTCACTTGACATAATAATAACAACAACTATACACTTAGAGGAGCTCTGGTGGCCCTCTGGTAAGGAGCTACACTGTCCACCAAAGATGCATGGTTCTAATTCACCAGTTGCTCTATAGGAAAAGAGGGGCAGCTTCCTTCTGAGCAATGTAGAGTTTCTGAAAACCCACTGGAGGGTCAGTTCCAACTCAACGGCACACCGCAACAAATTGTACACTTAAATGCTCACAAATAACGATGCACACTATGATTTATTACTTCAAGCACTATTTTAAATTCAATTAAGGAAAAAACATCAACATTCAACTTAAGCCTTATTTTTTTAAGGCTCAATTCTTCAGAACATGCCTTTCATAACTGAAAGTTAACACTGAATACACAAAAATAATTACATTTTCTTTACAAACCTTTTTAGGTATTCAAATAACACCTTCCATCTTCTTATTTCAATGTCATACTTTGCTGCCCAGAAGTCTTTTAAAAGCTAAGTACTTTCAAGACACAGAATAAAAGCAAGCAGCTGAGAATCAAATAATGCCTTGCTCACAAAGATAATGACTCCACTACCAATATTTTGTATGCAGGATGGCAGGAAACAGGATGGAAAATTTTTACAACATCTCAGCTTCTCTGAAATCAGTTCACTAAGATCTCATTATGCATTGGTATGCTCTAAAATTAAATCTATTAAATAAACACCAAGAAATATATTATGGTATTCTTTTTGTTTTATGAAAAGTATTCCATAATTATGATAATCCACACATCTATCTTTCCCTCACAATCATGAAATGTTTAAAAACAACAAAAATCAGAGAATGGTACCTACAAGGTTTCCCTTCTACCCTCGAATCTTTGTGATGGGGAACAGAGGAGAGGGGACAATAACGTTAAGCATTTTCAATAGATTATGTTTAAAGGAGTTCTTTTGTTAAGCTGGGTAACAGAAGTTTAAATATATAAAGCCAAAGTAAATATTTTCTTTATGAGCAAGAGTTTTAAACCCCTACAAACAATTACTTTGATTAATATTTGGCTGTAAGGGAGCTGGACCTGACTTTAAAACCTAGGAAAAATACTTGTTTTTTCCAAACTTTTATAAAACTAGAAAAGCTATCATTATTCTTACCATCCATCCTCATTCTACCCAAGATTTTTGAGGAACTCGGCATTACCATAATAAATGTTTCCTTAAAAGATGTAAAAAAAATACTTGAAGTTTGAATAATGCAAAGATTTTAAACCTTTCATTTTCTAAAGCACATGTGTAACTCGTACAAATGTTTTCAAGAGAGATGAATAGAGATCGGTACATGCAAACATATGAAAAGCATATCCAAGACAGAAGATGTATTTGGGCAGAAGTTAGCACTGTTCCCTTCTTACTCTACCATCCAAAGTGTCCTCCTATTAAAAGAAATTATGCCTCCTGTTTCACATTACAGGAGCTGGCAATGTCACAACCTGATGAAAGATTCAGAAGCTACCCTCAGAATGCTGGCCTCTGGGCCATGAAAATCAGCACCATTTCAGACACAATAGAACGACACTATTACAGAAATAAATGCCAGATTATTCACAACACTTTATCATCAAGCCAGTGTTGACAAAGCCATACCAGTATTATTACATGTCTTACAATTCATAGCAATCTATATATATCCCTTTTCTACAATTAACAGTGCAAAAGAGAAATATACTATAAACCACTGAATTGGGTACTTTAAATGGGGGAGTTGTACAGTATTGGAACTATATATCAATATTGGAGTTTAAAAGGGAGGAGACAGCAGAACAGAAACATACACAAAACTGCCTAGGTCCTCTCTGGAACTACTGTGCAAATGAACCAAGTGGTGTAAAGAAAAGGAAAATCAACATCTATTTACAAAGAAATTAATGCCCATTGCATGGAAATATATCTACTTTATGAAGATAGTATGAGCAACTCGCTTCAAATTCCAGTTAATTTCGTGGGTTCTAAAAAAAAAAGGCTAAAAGAAGCACCAGGGTGTGGTATAGAGTGTGTCACACTGCTAACTCGGGGGTGGGGATAGTGGTGCTATTTGTTTTTGTTGTTGTTGTTGTTGTGTACAATTAAGTTGGAACTGACCTATAGCTGACCTGTTAGCAGGTTTTCAGAAGCAGTAAATCGCACAGGAAGAGACTGCCCATCCTTCTCCCACTGAGCAGCTGGTGGTTTCTAATTGCATACCTTTGGGTCACCAGCCACTTCTGTGGAGAAAAATGGGCAATCTCTTTCCAATAAGATTTATAGCCAAAGAAATCAAATGGAAGGGTGCTATGAGTTGGACTAGATTTGATAGCACTGCTTTTTCTAAAAAAAAAAAAGGTTCAAAGTTTAGAAGTTTATTAAAAGAGGCATCTCAAGAATATAAAGTTCAAGATTTCTGTATACACCTTAAAAAAAAACAACCAAAAAACCACAACCTCCTCTGGAGGGGGAAAAAAACCCTGCTTAAATAACATGCCTATTCACACAGAGATAGTAATAATTACATACTAAAAAAAAATCCAAATCTTTAAGTGGCATATTCCATACTAAATGGGAAAACAAGAATCACCAATGTAATTAATGGGCTGAATTCTATCTGCAAAACAGATAGGCTGATGTCTTAATCTTCGTCCTGCCTATCTGACTGTATGACTTTACTAGACAAAAGCCCTGGCAGAAGTAATTGTTTCAGTTAAGATGAAGTCATTAAGGTGGACCCTAATATCTTTATGACTGGAGTCTCTCTACAAGAAGAACCACAGAGATTAAGTTCACATGAAGACAGAGACAAAGTGAAGTTATACCTCCATAAAGCAAGAAATATCTAAGGCTACCAGAAACTGGGAAAGATAATAAAGGCTCTTTCTTAGATTTTTTGGAGAAAATATAGCCCTACCGTTACTATGATTTCAAGCTCCTAGCCTCTAGAAGAGTGAGGCAATAAATTTCTCTTGTTTTCCCACAGTATATTAGGTACCCTGAACCTGCTGCCATCTTCACATGTCCACTGTGCTTAAATCTCTGGCTGCCATTCCTGTGTCGGTCCATTTCATTGACAGTGCTCCTCTCTTTCACTGATGCGCCACTTTTCCAAGCATGTTATCCTTCTCTAGGGACAAGTTCCTCCCAATAATATGCCCAAAGCCATACACAAAACTGAAAAATCCACTGCCATCTAGGGGAGTTCAACACATAGAGACCCTCCCTCTGGTTTCTCAGGCTTTAAATCTTGACAGAAGAAGTTTCCTATCTATGTCCCTAGGAGAAGCACCACAACACATTACAAACTATACCACCAGAACTCCTTGGAGCCATCAATTTATTGTAACTTATTACAGTGGTCCTAATTAACTCATACACCTGGACAACTTTATACAAACTACAGTCCTTACCCCTACTCTATGATTCCAATCAGTTACCAGTTGCTGAGTAGACTCCAATTCACAGGGACACCACGTGTGTCCCAAGAAAATTGCACTCCAG